CCCCATAGCATGACCACCATGCTTCACCATAGGGATGCTGTTAGCAGGTGATGAACAGAGCCTGATGTTCATCAGACACAGTGTTTCTGCCCAGAGGTTTAATTTTTCATCTTGTCAGACCAGAGAATCTTTTCCCTCCTGCTCTGAATTGTTTAAATGCTGTCAGACAAACTCCAGGCGAGCTGCTACATGCCTTTTACTCAAGACTCCAGTCAAGTTCTGGACACATCTGAAGGAGAATTAAAGCATACAGGATGCACCTGAGCACAGTCTGGAGTGGCACAGTAAAGGGTCTGAATACTTGTCAGAAAAAATTTCTAAAAACATATTCTCCCTTTGTCATGATGGATTATTGAGTGTTGATTGCTGGATAAAATGGCAATTTTATCCAAGTGTGCAAAATGTGAAGAAGTCTGAATGCTTTCCTGAATCCACTGCAGTCATCGCAGCATAGTAAAACAATTCTTCTACTTAGGTGTAAATGAGAGAGAGACAGAGAGAGAGAGGCACACCAACACTCAGGAAGGCCAATCGATTTTCTCTCCCATCACACCCCCACACACCCTAACTCACACATCAAAAGACAATGCACATTAAATTAGTAGGTGAAGCACACCCTACCCTAACCCTTCCACTTCTACTTCTTTCACACATACAAAGACACACTAAAACGCACACCCACCCCTTGTCTCCCATAGGGCCTGGCTTATGCATATATGCATACAGCGAAGTCTGTCCTTGTGTAGTCATTTTAATCTCATGCACTGGGAGGTTTTAATCACAACGACTAACAATAGATGTGTGTGGATCACACATACAAGGTAATGCACCTAGATATAATTACTTCAACTCATTGTGCACCACAAAGCTTAGGATTTGCTCTATTATAGAGCTGCATAAGATGTAGGCAAAGTGGCTGCGGAGGTGTTGTTTGTTGCCTGAACCTGTTAGTTTGCCAGAGCAGTGTCCTCCCTGTAGTACAGGGAGGATAAGCATCATTTTGGCAAGTCTCACATGCACAGCGTTGTTGCTGATGTAAAAACACTGACAAACTTGTCTTTTAGGATACATGCAGCTACCTACTGGATTCATCACCATTTTTCCCACTTAGAGGAAATGAGGCGGAAAATAAAAACTTAAAACAGGCTGAAACACAAGCTGAAACTAATTTACAAACAAAATGCAACATGTTGCACAGTTGATCAAATCTCATCACGGACGTGCCACAGGTGTCATACTTTGCGAGAACATTTGTTTAAAACCTGGAAAATCATGTGAATGTGTTGTGGTTGGTTTGAAACAACCACAAAAGGCTGTCTGGCTTTGTACATTTCAGATCTTTGCACAGTGTGAAGGTATTTTTAGCCTCACAGTTCTGGATCCGCATCTGACTGATCCTACCTAGATATAACAGAAGCATGCTTGGACGTATACAGACATAGCTAGTTGTCACATTTAGCTATGTCTAGTGTGACTGGTGCGATGTCATACTGATTATTCCTCATGTCACATCGGTGGGTATGGCCATGGCAGGGGTAATTATGGTAACTAAAGGGTGGGAGGGGAAAGTGACTGGATGAGTCAAGGCTGGGTGTCTGGTTGTTTGGATATCTCCACAAACTAACAGGAAGAAATGACAGAACCTGGGACGAAACTCTGAGTTGTAGGACAGGGGGAAAGAGATTTCTTACATTATGGCGTTGACATGGCGGTCCAAGCGAGGGGAGGTACAGCCCAAAATTTCACCCGGTGACAGAGGTCGACACTGTGGGACCAGCACATCATACTCTGGTTTCAGGACTGCACTTATAGCCTGCAGCATAGAAGGAGGTAGAAGGACAGCTAGTTAAGATTTTTATATGTTATGTCCAGCTCACAGCTTGTACACTCTGTTAAAAGTTGATAGTGAAACAGAAACCACATATGAAGACCAGAAAAAAAGGTGCAGATGACCAATTCCAGCCTTTTTGTGTTCGTCATAACATTTTATGCCCCCTAGTTGTTTTATTTTTCCCATTTGACAGCTCTTCTCCTTTTTTGCAATAAAGCATAAATAACAAGAGAGACAAATGACTAAAAATACTAATATTTCAAAATGTATGCCAAAGGAAAAAACAGAGGAAGCAGTAGACAAAACATGAAGTGTGCAATGATTCAAAAATGAGGAAGGCCAGAAAGGATTATAATGACAATGTGGCTCTGAAGTGACCCTGAATGGATCATGTTTGTTGGTAATTCTCCTAGAGGTTTAATTCCCAATGCAGCCACCTGTATATCACACACACACAAAGGACAATACATACGAACAATAACAAGGGAAGTAAATGCTATTTCAAAAGAGCATTCTATAACTCAAGAAAAATCAACTCTTCCTAACATCCTACATTCATTTACATTCATTACCCAAAGCGAGGAGACGAGAGGCCAAACAAACCAAAAAGAATGTGCTGGTGTGCTTGGAGGTGGAAGGTAATTCAAACGAGTTAAGGCTAATTTGAGGCAGTCCATAGGGAATGTGGGTGAACTCCCAGCTTCCCCTGCCCATACTGTGTTACCTCAAGCCTATACAACATAAGAGATGAGTGAGATGGATGAACATGCATACAATACACAGCTACAGTTCAAACAAGCAGATGTATGCACATACATACATGTGGGTGTACTCAAACACCCCAACATAAAATAAAACCCACATGGGTGGAGCCTAGTTTAAAAATAACATTAGTGAAATCTCACAACAAATGAAAGCAATAGAACACATTATGCATTAGAGAACGGAGAGGCCCAAGAAAAGGTATTCAAGCTTAATGCTTTAGGTGCTGCCACTGCTTATTTAAAGAGCAGAGCTGAGCACAACATTGAACCGAAAGGCTTTCTGAGTTCATTCCTCCTTTTAAATCCAAAATAACTGCTGCTGGATTTCTAAAACCCACACTTGAGCTTAAATGTGGAGTGGGAGCTTGCTCATGCAGGAGGCAAAAAGGTATACTGTACAAATACATAATGTGTGCTCCTATACTGTACATGCAAAATACAATATAGGCTGGGTGAAAATACGTATTTGGATAAAAATACAGAATCACTCTACCTCAGCTCTCTGTGGTAGAAACATGGACTCACCACATACACATAAAATCACACAGGCCAAGGGCTTCATCACCTGTAGTGCTGTCACAAACTGAATAGTGCTGACGAGCACCAGTGACTGTCCAGGAGGGAAGTTAAACTTGATTGTGTCCAGGAAGTGTGCAGTGTCCATCTGGATATCCACAAACACATAGAGCATCTTAATACCTCCTGTGGAGTCTATGGGAACTGGAGGGAGACAAAGACAAAAGAAAGACTCACTCACTGGTCAGGTAAGACTGTGGAACAGTGTTGTTCCACCATCAGCATGAGACATATAAACATGTGACAAATCAAAGGAAAAGTGTGTCAGTAAGGTGCTGGGCCACCACGTGCCACCACACCAGCTTCGGTGCACCTTGACATTGACTCCCCAAGTCTCTGAACTCTACTGGAGAGATGAACACCGTTCCTCCAAAAGAGACTCCATCATGCTGTGTTTTTATGATGGTAAAGAAGATGCTGTCTAACACATCACTCCAACATTTGCCATAGGTGTTGAACTGGGTTGAGACCTGGTGACTGTAAAGGCCACACCATATGATTCACATCATTTTCATTGTCATCAAGCCGTTCAGTGGCCCCTCGTGTCCTGTGGATGGGTCCAGTGTCATCCTGGAGGAGGCCACTCATTTACTCAGGCTTTTCCGTTTATTTGTCACCCACCTCTATGTTCAGGAACACAGTACATGCACATATACAGTATAGGTATCCATGTAACTGAAACTCATTCAGCCTGAGTCTTCCGTCAGGCAAGAACTGATGCAAAGATCTCAACTTATTTAGGAAAGGAGAAGGATACATGCAATTACTATTAATGCCATTAATTTCACAGGCCATTTACGATGCACCCGGGCCCAGAAGACATAGCTAGAGGCGTGCTGAGGTAGATGCCGAAAAAGTAGGTGACAGTTCAAGAAAAGAGGGGGGAAGGGTGCGGATAAGCAAGAATTATAGTTTGCACTGATCATGATAATTATTCTTCCTCTTGTATTATCTTTAATTTACAGATCAGGAGCAAGGGGACATTTTTGTTAAGCAAATGGGCCTTTATGATGCTAATGCTTTATGAGCAAGTGCAGCTCACTTGATATCCTAGATTAAAGCAATACTGAGAGACAGACAGGGGAGTAAAGCACAACACCCACACTTGAGCTTAAATGTGGAGTGGGAGCTTGCTCATGCAGGAGGCAAAAAGGTATACTGTACAAATACATAATGTGTGCTCCTATACTGTACATGCAAAATACAATATAGGCTGGGTGAAAATACGTATTTGGATAAAAATACAGAATCACTCTACCTCAGCTCTCTGTGGTAGAAACATGGACTCACCACATACACATAAAATCACACAGGCCAAGGGCTTCATCACCTGTAGTGCTGTCACAAACTGAATAGTGCTGACGAGCACCAGTGACTGTCCAGGAGGGAAGTTAAACTTGATTGTGTCCAGGAAGTGTGCAGTGTCCATCTGGATATCCACAAACACATAGAGCATCTTAATACCTCCTGTGGAGTCTATGGGAACTGGAGGGAGACAAAGACAAAAGAAAGACTCACTCACTGGTCAGGTAAGACTGTGGAACAGTGTTGTTCCACCATCAGCATGAGACATATAAACATGTGACAAATCAAAGGAAAAGTGTGTCAGTAAGGTGCTGGGCCACCACGTGCCACCACACCAGCTTCGGTGCACCTTGACATTGACTCCCCAAGTCTCTGAACTCTACTGGAGAGATGAACACCGTTCCTCCAAAAGAGACTCCATCATGCTGTGTTTTTATGATGGTAAAGAAGATGCTGTCTAACACATCACTCCAACATTTGCCATAGGTGTTGAACTGGGTTGAGACCTGGTGACTGTAAAGGCCACACCATATGATTCACATCATTTTCATTGTCATCAAGCCGTTCAGTGGCCCCTCGTGTCCTGTGGATGGGTCCAGTGTCATCCTGGAGGAGGCCACTCATTTACTCAGGCTTTTCCGTTTATTTGTCACCCACCTCTATGTTCAGGAACACAGTACATGCACATATACAGTATAGGTATCCATGTAACTGAAACTCATTCAGCCTGAGTCTTCCGTCAGGCAAGAACTGATGCAAAGATCTCAACTTATTTAGGAAAGGAGAAGGATACATGCAATTACTATTAATGCCATTAATTTCACAGGCCATTTACGATGCACCCGGGCCCAGAAGACATAGCTAGAGGCGTGCTGAGGTAGATGCCGAAAAAGTAGGTGACAGTTCAAGAAAAGAGGGGGGAAGGGTGCGGATAAGCAAGAATTATAGTTTGCACTGATCATGATAATTATTCTTCCTCTTGTATTATCTTTAATTTACAGATCAGGAGCAAGGGGACATTTTTGTTAAGCAAATGGGCCTTTATGATGCTAATGCTTTATGAGCAAGTGCAGCTCACTTGATATCCTAGATTAAAGCAATACTGAGAGACAGACAGGGGAGTAAAGCACAACAAGGGGCCAGAAAACAGCCGCTGAACAGTCGAGGGTGGACTGGGAGAGGCAGAAGGGCTGTGAGGTGCAATGGACAGAAATCAGATGGCATGGAAACAGGAGTGAGGAATGAGAAATTCCTATGAAAGTAGACTGGAAAACAGTGAAATTCAATTTGGGTGTGGGGGAAGGTGATTCAATAATGTACTCCATAAATTCAGAAAGATAGGACATGGAAGAGAGGAATGGAAAAAGCAATAGGATACTGTGTGTGTGAGTGTTCCTGTGTGTGTGGATGGTCTTTTGGGGATTGGGGGGTGTTGCTAATTAACTGGGAAGAGAAGTGATGAATGGGCTCACATCTCAGCAAAGAGGGAATGGATGGAAGCGAAAGGTGGGCTTTGCTGCAGGCCACATGTTAAGTGAGAAACCAGTGGGTTAATATATCATGAGACGAAAAAGGGTTGGAAGAGTTGAGTAAAATCCAGACTGAGACTAGCAGCTGTCTGTTACTTGTTTATAGGCCTTACCCAAAATGTAAAGGGCAAAGAAAAGTGGCATTGATCTGTGTTCACAATAGCATAGTAGCCTGAGAGCACTTAGAGGCTGCAATTACAGACAGTCAATGGACCAGCTTACTTGGCCCATCAGTGGTTTTATTTATCTATGTGTTATAGCAATAAGGTCACTCAGCATAGCTGGTTATTAATGTCCATGTAAACAAATATGCAGGCACACTCATAGCAAGTGGGACTAAGAAAAGGTTGGACATTATGGTATAGTGGCTTGTTTACAAATGATTTAAAGATCAATATCTACAAACTGGTTCCAGCCTAGGCGGCACAGTGGAGCGCTGCCACCTCGCAGCAGGAACGTTCTGGGTTAAAGATGACCTGGGGCCTTTGTGCGTGGAGTTTCCATGTTCTCCTGTACCTGCGTGGGTTCTCTCCAGGTACTCCGGCGTCCTCCCACAGTCCAAAGATGTGCAGCTCAGATTGATTGGTGACTCTCAATTGTCTGTAGGAGTGAGTGTGTGTGGTTGTTTGTTTCTAAGTGTCAGCCCTGTGTTAGACTGGCGACCTGTCCAGGGTGGACCCCGCCTCTCGCCCAGTGTCTGCTGGGATAAGCTCCAGCACCCTGTGACCCTATTCAGGAATAAGCCATACAGATAATGGATGGATGGTTCCAGTCTAGTACATAAATAAGACGGTAAGCATTTGGTACCTTTACGTCTTTAGCCGTATCACGATCCAAATGTTACGTCACTCATTTTACACAGTATTGCTGTAGATCGGAGCTGGGGTTAGAAAAATGAACACAGTCGTAATGTTCTGTGGATGAAAATGAGACTTAAGTCCCAAGAATTATTTGCACTGTTTGTGCAGTTTTTCGATATAAAAACTGTACTGTACACACTCATAAGCCTGCATACACAGCAACAGAATAGGTGAGGCATGTTGATGTGTCTTGATATCAAAAAAAGCATTGTTGATGTTATTATCATCATTGTTCCATGATATTAGAAGCAATTAACAGTGGTTGCTGAGCTGTGGCCGCACTCTACCTGAATTGTCAAGTGGTTGCACTGGATTCTGTGTCTGAGCAACTCTCAAATGGTAAAATCTACAAAAATTCAATGCACCAAGAGCAAAACAATAAATAAATAATAAACAAAAAGTCATTCTCAAAATAGTTTTTATCAGATGTGGAAGTAACCTATATTACTGAATTACTGACAATTATATCACAAATTGCAATTTTTTTATGGTTAAAATCACATGACAACACCACTTAGCTGAAGTGCTTAATGATTTACTGTGCGATTAACCCAGATATGAGCCGATGTAGCTGCACTGATGACACCATGTATGTTGCTTTGTGCCGATAAGCTTGCGGCTGTATTGATTAATTAATTCATAATGCATGGGCAGTCCAGATGTTATGTCTTTGTTACTGATCTTTTAAAGCAGTTAGGTCAGTTCAGAGGGGAGCCACTGAAAACACAGCATGAACAAGTCTTAAGAATTAATAATAGTCTGAGCAGTTAATTAGAAAAGAACAGGGACGGAGAGGCATGTAGTGTGAATGTAGCTATAGACAGGTTTCTGAGCAACGGCATGAATGAGATGCACGCGCACCTTGGAGGTAGAAAACAAAGCAGAACCAGAATGACCGAGACTGCGGACAGTAATATGACAAGGACTTGTTGTGCAGTAAACTGCTCGAATTGCTCGGAGGATGGCTGGAAAATGTTGACATCCCAAAGGCAAAACATTCCTTCCAACACAGAATGAGAAAACTGTGGCTTAAGCAATAAAAAGAGCCTGTCCTTCTGTTCTCAGTGGCGATGAGGAGAGAGGCCAGCTCGACTCTGAGCTTGTACAGTGCTCATCGCATTTTGTTGAGAGTTTCTACCCAACATTAGCCAATTATTCTTTAATAAAAAGTTGCCCAAAGGGAACTATGTAAGCCTTGTACGTTAGAAATAAACCAGAGCAGAGCAACCTAAGATTTACATTACCATGCTAAATAAGCTCAGAACAGTTGCTGCTGCTAGATGCACAGCTATTTGAAGACTATTTTTCTAACTTCATTTGAGCTTTGTTTTTTTTTTACTGTACTGTCGATGTGAACCGAGTCAGAAACAGTCAGATCACAATGCTGAGTAACAGTACTTCAGTGAAACACCACACGTGGCTTGATGGTAATAACTGGCTTTACTCAACAGATTACTACTTAAAATGATGAAAATCTCAAAAAGATAAACAAACATAACAGTGTACTGGCGTGCAAGATGCGCATGCATGCTCAAATGTTTGCAAACAGGAAACCTGCCTCTAGTGTAACATGGAATAATACAAGCATGGAATATTTAAACCCAAGTGTCATACTGGTCCACATCAATAACACTAGCTTAAACTCAAGCTGGTGCCTTGTTTTGCTTTACAAAGCTCTTCTAAAGTGCGTCATGCCACCAAAAATAATGAGGATCTGCTTGTGATCTGAAAGAAGGTCCAGTAATACTTGCAGCTACGGCAGCTGGCCTGGCACACAAACCTCTTTTACCCACTCACTCTCACTCTTTGTTCTTCAGACAAGTCAGACATTCTGTTACAAAATGTTTGAGCATCAGTAAGTGTAAATAAATCTCCATGCCTCATCTCAGCTAAATCGTATAACTCTGAAATATACAAAAACATGGTTTTATGTTGGTACCCATATTGTTCTGCACCAGATGGAGGTGCTTTATGTTGACAAAGGACAGGATGACACAAATACTGAAAAAGCGAGACTACAGAGGAAATGAAAGGGAAGTAAAGGAGCACAGGAGACCCAGTTTCTCTATGAGTCAGTCAGAACAGTGTCTTTAATCTCCCACAGGTGTGTGATGATGTCAGCAACACGTAGCCTACACACTGGCACCCTGCACGCAGATTCTAGTGGAAATCTGGTGGTCATTCCATCTCTGTCCGCCAATTAATATCTGATCTTATTTCATCACTGATCTTTGGCACATTTGTCTTTGCCTTTATTTGGTTTTCTAAGCTTAAATAAGGAAGTACATCTTTCTTTGGCAAGATACTTGCCTGTACTCACATTTCCTCCACAAATAAACTGTAAATGTGTGCACACAAACCACACATACAAAAAAACAAAACAAAAACCAAAAACAAAAAAATATAAGCCAACACAGAGAGAGATTTTCACTGTATTAAAATTCTGTTGGTCAATTCTGGTATTTGGGAGAGGTGAGGTTGTTCTGGCAGGGATATATCAAAACTATTGATTTAGCATTTCCTCCCATGTTCTGCAAGAGACAGACAGTGGGGGCGAGGGTGAAGGTCCTCAAGAGCTGTACGAGGTTTTTAAAGGACAGCTGTAATGTTCCCCATTGATCTGCTGGGTAAATGTGATGGCATGTCTCCAAAGGTCTAATATGCCTTCCATACTAGACCTGGGCAGGCTCCACTAACTAGTTACATTTTCCGTTGATCGATATCTCCGTCTGTCTGGTTTCTTTTTCATGTAGCCCACTTTCAGGAGGTGGAAGTCCTTGTTCACTTCACAATCCTCAACAGACTACCATGCACAGAGATAGGTAAAAAGACTCACTGAGACAACTGTGTCCATAGTGCACCAGGAAATCAGCTCCTAGGGCTCGGGCAGTGAAGTCATCCACACAGCAGGCCCCGTACGTCACATCCCCCATCACAATGGTATCTGCCTCTGTAAATCTGGGAAACACACACACATACACCGACACTAATCAGTACTGTCAAAGTCCATATGCACCTCCTGTTGTTCATTACCACAGCAATTAATACACACAGTATGCCAGGCACAGCGTGATTATGAGAACGATCAATCCCCATCCACTCGCTACAGATAGTGTACACTGTATAGTATTGAACAGCAGTGTCAGTCAGTGACTGATTCACAGCATATCAGGGTGACACACTGCTATTCCTTTGCTCTTCATGACCTGCAGCCAATGGGCCTGAAAGCAATACAAGCCGTAGTTAAAGCTCTGCCATGTGAAGGTTAACAGGTCGCCGGTCAGCCGGGCCACAGAAAGAAGGCTGTCCAAAGGGAAGAAGAAGTGGGAGAAGGGTGCTAGGATTGGTACACATAAGCAAATGAGAGTTTACAGGAGCCTTGGCCATGTCTGGCCTGGATTTATAGCACATCTGCCTGAGAACAGGAGAAACAGTCTCAACAACAGTTAGCATTTGCAGCATGCGAATAAACTATTCAGACTAAATGGTTTATGCTGCAAGTAGGTTGCGAGAGTGTAGTGCAGTCCATGTGGGCCTAATGTTCCACTTTGTAGCTGTAATAGGAAAAAAAAAGAATTCATGGCCTCTTTGAGAGGCAAACTACAAAATTACACAGGCATCTGTGGACCCAGACTTGTTAGAATATATTGTTGATCGCAGTACAGGAAACAAGCTCTTACTTTTATCACCCTTTATGGGCAAATAAAATGCTAAGTAAACCCATAAAGGCTAAGTAAAACGAATAAAGGCTGAGAGTAAAAGGGAGGAAGTGCGAATGAACAGAAGCTTGAGGTACTGTAGGTGAAGAAGGATGGGTAGATGAGAGGGTGGTTGTAAATGGTGAAAGTTTCCAGGTATATGTGGCTGTATTCTGACAGATTTAGGCTAGACTGAAGGGGCAGAATAGAGATGAGATACAGGGCTTTGGGAGAGAAGAGGGAAGTGATAAACAGACATGGCTGCACACAGAACAGCAACTGTAGCAACCAACAGACTCTCCGTAATGTGTCTCCTGCTGCCCAGTCTTTCAACCCACATCCAGTCTCTCCGTGTATTCCTCATTCTGCTCCTCGCAAGGGGCTTCAGATAAAGTTTCTATTTAGCCTTTTCTCCTTCCTTTCCTCTGATATAATCTCTGGTTTGTACTCTCTCTGGGCTCCTCATCATTGTCGCCTAGTTTTCTACGTGCTTTCTCTCTCTCGCTGTTTCTCTGTACCTTCTTCTCTAATGGCTGCTCTCAAGTGAAGGACAGCGCAGACCAGCTGAGGCCAGGAAAACACAGACAGAGCAACTCCTCTGATAAATAAATATTTGCGTTAGAAGATTTGACTCAATTACCCTCTCTCTCATCAAGGTTTTGATTTTGTCTCTGCATGTCTGTTTATACTGCACACATGTCTGCCAAAAACAGAAAGGTAATTATGGGTTGCAAGAAATTAATAAAAATCGCATGAAAAGTTTGAGGTCTGTGGACTCCTCTACTAGTTTTCTCATTTAGTGTAGCCTATTATTCTTTCATCGCAGTCTGCTGACTCTGTTTGGAGTTGCATCAACCTTTCAGCTAAAAATACACAGCCTGCCCACCAGAAAAAAAAGATTATTCCCTGCAATTCACTGCAGACCATGCAGAACCATCTACAGTACAATGCAAAACACAGTATTACAGAAGATTATTTCATCTAGTCAGCCATCTATCTGCCAGATTCATTAGTAGGGTAAGACGTATCTAGTTATTTCCAGTGTGAGTACACTGAAATTTCATGGTAATAAATGATAGGAATCAGATTAAGAGGCCCATATGAGATGTGATGCTACTGGAACATGGAGTAATTACTGGGCAATGTACTGTTGCGTATCCTGTTCAGAGAGAGACTATGATGGAAGAAGGAAGCTAGAATGAAAGAATGTTAAGAAGAGAACAACAGAATTAAAAATGCATCGGTATTAATGTGATCCTGTTTCTAACATAGGGTGTTCATTATGTCTGCTGGGTACATACAGTCCAGACCATACATATTTGGACAGTTGACCCACACATTCTTCTGCATGTATCAGCACATTCAATTGGAAACTAGAATTACCGCTTTGTGGTCGTATACCTTCCACAACCAGTCAAATTCATAGGAATGGGGCAGACATGAAGTCACCGACCTTAACCCTTGCTGACCAAAATTTAATCAGTTCATCCTTGAATCCAGGTGGACATCTGTACCAAATCTGAAGAAATTCCCTAAAGGCGTTCTGGCTTACAACTGATGAAATTTAGCATCAGGAGAAAGCAGGTATAAAATTTCCAGCCCTGCTGTCAGCATGGCAGATGCTATTATCTGAGACATCTTTGGATTTGAGAACATGTTCGAGTAGGGAGGAGGAGTTAGTAAATTGTATCACTTGCCAGAGGAGAATGTGAGGGACTTACAGACTTTCAGGTTAAACCATGCTTGATTTACTAGCCTTAAAAATGAAACACGAGTTGACTGGCAGAAGACTACATGATTGCAGTTCCGAAATAAGGTTGATGATTTGTTCAACCATATTAAAGTTCAGTCACAGTAAAGACACTTTCTTCTACTGTCTCTCTTGGTCCACCAGTGTGCAGTAGGTATGTCCTTACCAGCAGAAGTGCACATAAATGTACTGAGCTGCAGCTGTGCTCATTCACATCACTGGTGTTGGTAAATAAGACACTAAATAGAAAAATTGCAGTGCCGCAATATTTTCTGCACCTACCAGTAATTTGCGTCAGACTTAGTAAATATCCCCCTTGATTTGTAAAATGTAACTAACTGATGTTATTAAGCCATGTGATATCCGTTCCCATTAGGGATCGCCACAGCAAATCATCACACTGAGGATTCGCATGTTGAAATTTGGCATGTGTTTTACGCCGATGCCCTTCCTGACGCAACCCTGAATCGAACCCGGGTCGCAGCGGCGAGAGCGCTGAATCCTAGCCACTAGTCCATCAGGGACCATTAAGCCATCGAATATATTTTTGCTATTTTCAGCCTCATTACTATCTTCTTCACTTGCATGAGCAGCTCTTTTTATCCTCATACAACTATAAGTCTAAATGGCAACTGCAACATCTAGCATGAGCTCTTTTGAGCATTGAACTTTGAAACAACACACAGCTACTCACAAAACACTTAGTAGACAAGTGTTCAGCCATTTTAGAAACTTAGCATTTTGAGCACTGTGTTAAAAGGACTATATCTCAGACACAGCTCTTTCAACATTAACATAAACCTACTCGAATTAAAGCTGAGACTTGGCACTTTATGTAATATCCATCATTTTATTTCATATTGAAGTGCTGAAGCACAGGGCGTGAAGAATAATAGATGTGCAACTCTCCAAATACTTAAGGCCAAGACTGTATAAAGCACAAATGTCCTCCAGTACTTCCTCATTTCCACTTATCCCTCTCTCTGCATTGCTGTCTACACTCCTGTGTCAGTTGCTTTCCCATTTCCCTCTATGTATCAGCACTGGGATTGACTGATTTCAGGGTACTCAGTTCAGTCATTCCAACTGAAATGTCATTAAGATCTAATTAAGATGTCCGAGAAGCTTGTGAACTCTATAACAGCTCTTGTTAATGAGCTTTTTAGCATACAGCACAATATGTGTGAGAAATTGTCAACTGATCTTAATCTTTGTTATAAAAACGAATGCGTTTGTGTTTTGTGTGTGCTGCAAATACAGTGCATACAAAAAGTATTCAGACCCTTTCAAGGTTTCCACATTTTTGTATGCTTCAGACTCATCTTAAAAATGGATTCAATTCTTTATTCCCCTCATCAGCCTACACAAAATACCCCAAAAGTGAAAACAGGTTTTTGGAGTGTTTTAATTAAAAAAAAAATAAAAGACTGATACATAAGTATTCAGTCCATTTTCTATGACATTTGCTGCTGAGCTCTGGTGTATCCTACTTCCATCAATGGTCCTTGAGAAGCTTCTATAGCTTGATTAGAGTCCATGCTTAGAGAACATGCAAACCCAGAACCTTGAAGCTTGAACCTGGAACCTTCTTGCTGTGAAGCGTCAGTGTTAACCACTGCTCCACTGTGCCGCCTGGTGCTGAGCATCACCTCATTAATACCATCACTATAGTCAAACATGGTGGTGGCAGCATCGTGCCGTGGGGATGTTCTTCTATGACTGGGAGACTAGTCAGGGTAGAGGGAAGGATGGGCGCAGAAAAATATACAGCAATCCAGAATGCTCAGGATCTCAGGCTGGGGTGAAGGTTTAAACTCTCAACAAGACAATGACCCAAAACATACCACCAAGAGACCACAGCAGGAGTTTCAAGAAAACATGAGTGGCCCAGCCAGACTGTGGATCGGAACAAAATAGGGCATCTCTCTGAAGAAACCTGAAAACAGCCGTGCACCAATGCTCCCCATCCAACCTGGTTGACCTAGAATGATTCTGCCAAGAAGAATAGAAGCAACTTTCAAAAGAAAGGTGTGTCAAGCTTGAAGTGCTATTCTCAAGAACACTTGAGGCTGGCACTGCTGTCAAAGGTACTTTAACCAAGTACTAAGTGACGGGTCTGAATAATGATAATTCAGACTTCTATTTTCAATACATTTCTGAAAGGGTCTGAATACTTTCTGTATGCACTATGGGACCAGACTGGCTAGGAAACTAGCACAGCGTGTCGCGTTGAGCAGCGCTCAATATGGGTTCTGCATTTATTTTCACTATCTTGCGCCACTTTGTTGGATAGCTCTGGGAGCTAAATTTCAGCATCCCTCAAGAGGTAGTACTAAAATCAAGCACCAGGAATGCAATGGGGGAGGGGATGCATGCACGCAGAGCAGTCACCGGTGAGTGGTTAAATGTCCACGTAATCACACCTCAAGCCTTAGCATTACAAGCACCGTATGTGATCACAGAGCTGGCTGTGTGTGAGAGAGGAGCAGCCCCTCCCTCTTTTAAACAGA